AACGCGTGCTCCCAGGGGCTTGGGGGAAGGGGCCAGGGAGGTGGCTCTGTGGTTCCCAGGGACCCCAGCCCTTCTTGCGGGGGTGGTAACGGCACCCCAGCAGCCATTGCGCTCCCGTTCCATGGTGACCCCTAGGAGCAGCCCTGGCTGGAGCGTCTGCGGCCCTGGGCCCCGACAGGCAGGGAGGACAGAACTTGGTGCCTTTGGGCCTGGGTGTCACATTCGCGTCTGGCTGCTTGGAGCGGGGGTGGTAACGGCACCCCAGCAGCCATTGCGCTCCCGTTCCATGGTGACCCCTAGGAGCAGCCCTGGCTGGAGCGTCTGCGGCCCTGGGCCCCGACAGGCAGGGAGGACAGAACTTGGTGCCTTTGGGCCTGGGTGTCACATTCGCGTCTGGCTGCTTGGATGCGAAGAGCCGTTCCCGGCCTGGAACCGTACCCGGCTGGGTCAGCGCTTCTCCCCCGAGGGGCTGCAGCACGGACTGCTTCTGCCGGAACGCGTCCAGGAAGGAGAACACCCCCCTCTTGCGAGCGCCGCCGCCGCCTTTCTGCAGGGAAGGGAACGGGCACCCCGGGGAGTCCACGGACGCTGTCCGCTTCATCTTCAGCCCCGCGCGGGAGCCGCCCTTGGACTTCAGCCGTGAGGTGGAGGCCACCAGACACTTCTGGTACTGAACCTGCGACGGACAGAGCCGCGGGTCAGCGCGCTGCAGAGAGACCCCTCTGCGGCCCCTCGCAGGGAAGGGTTGGTGTCATCCCTGCACGGTGGGTAAACTGAGTCACAGAGCGTCGCTGTGCAAAGACAGACCCTGGGAATCCTGACTCGGTTTGCCCCTTCAGCTAGCTTCTAGACCGGCCCCCTTCCCTACTCTCCCCCACCTGGAATCCTGCAGCGCTGAGTCACCCACGTCAGGCCTGGCTTCAGGGGCACGTGGCCCCACATGAGGGAAGACAGCAGCATGTGCCCTTCTGCAGACCTGGACTGGCAGGGCCCCCCAAGCAGCCTTGGGAGCTGTCAGTCACCCCCACACATGCCTGTAGGGACCTTGCTGGCTCTGGGGTTGTTGGACCAGAGCCCGCCCCCTGCAAGGTGGGGCAGAGCCCTGCCCGGGGACAGCTCGGGGGGAAACAGCCCACAGGGCAGGGCAGGGCGGAGGACACAGAGCTGCGGTGCCAGTCCCAGCAGGCGGGTCAGAGCTGCGCCAGTCGCTAGGTCTCCGGTCACTGGCTGGTGCTTGCAGTAGAGCAAGGACCCAGGGTCTGCCCTCTCCTGGGCCAATGGGAGCTCTCGGGCCCTTTCCCCGTGGGGTGTCCCCAGGGGGTCACTCACCATGCAGGCGGCCTGCACCCCCTCGGAGATGGTGCCGGCGTCCGGCTCGCACCAGAAGGCCGCGCACTGGAAATGCTGCTGCCCCAGGTCTACGATGAGCGCGAACGCGTGGGCGTCCCGCCCCACCCCGATGAAGGTCACGTAGCGGACCTGGCACTCGAAGATGTGGGCGTCCTCCGGGCCAGCCTCCAAGGGACACGAGAGCAGGGGTAGCCTCGGGCGGCAGGAAAGGGCCCGCCTCCGGGGCCCCA